ACGAAAAAAAAAAAAAAAAAAAAAAATATGAAAACGTAAGGGCTGCCATTGCGTGAGAAAAATGTGACTGAGGAGATAGGTCATGGGTTTCTTATTGATTTGTGCAAGAAAAAAAAAAAAAAAAAGTTCGCCCCTTGAGGTTTCAATAAACGTGGCACGAGGCGCGGTGAGAATTTGTGAAAATTATAAGAAAAATATATATATATATACGGATAATTGTATTTTGACGTAACGAGATCGGAAAATTTTTAATTGACTTGGAAAAAAGTTTACGGGAAAAATCAAATTATCGGAATTCTGTGCTATACAGATATACACGGTTGCCAACTGGAGAAGTTTCAACTTTTTATCAGAGATCGCATTCCGCAACTTTTATACAGGATCAAAACTTCGTTTACCTTCGAAAAGACTTACCAACCTGACAACATATACACCATATAGATTCCCCTCGGTGTTCGCAATTTTTCTCTACATTTCCCTCGATAATTTTTGGACGTTTTGGTCGAATTCGTAAATTTGAAAATCCTCAGCATATTTTCTCACCCAAAAACCTAAAGTTTTATATATACACGCATCCTGCGACATTACCGAGTAAAGTATCCAGAGACGGAAATATATGCTTAAAGCACACGTGTACGACATATATATGCGGTAGGTAAAATAAATATATAATAAATTTACCTAAGTACGTGAAGTGAGAGTCGGATGGATAAAAACGTATGTATAGCATGTATAGAGTATAGTTTGCTTGCCAATACCCTGCTCCCCCGTCCCCTGAGTCCCCTCGCCCACTAGCCCGTTTAAAGGTCCCTTACGACAACGCGTGCTCCTGCGTGAGCCCCGCGTGTTACTGCTTTGATTTCGTGCCTAGTTTAGTTTTGCGTATCTCGAGTGACACCATTTGCTAGTGTCGTATTTTTGGATTTCTGTTATTTTCTGTTTCCTTTGTACACCGACATTTTTATTATTAATTATATTCTTTTTATTTTACACCGTGTCCCCTTTCTTCGGTTCCCTCCCCCTCTCCCGTAGTTTTGAGATAGCTGCATTTGCGAGACCCTGGGCCCTTTTTCGAGGCCCAGTCCGTCACAGTATATACATATGGTGTACGGTCGTCGTAAAAGAGGGGACACATAAAATATGTAAAATTTCATGTGAAATTTTTATAACGAGACAACCATCCCCCTCCGACGTTACTGAACTTCGTGACGTCACGTTCATGAAACTTCCATCAACTCCCACAGAATATATCGCGTCTTCGGGGTCGCGGGACACGTCCCACTGGGACTATCAGGAAAATGGTCATAAGCATGCATTACGTTATGTACATACATTAGTCACGTTAGAGCCAGAGTGGTAGCATATAGGGTCTGGGAAGTTAGCCCCCCATAACTGGAAAATTCTGGTTCCGTTGGTTGTTCTGGGTTTTTCTAAGGTTGTTCTATAATGTTCCAGAAACACTAGTTTCTCGTTAGCCCCCCATAATTCGAAAATTCCGGTTTCGTTGTTTGTTCTGAGTTGTTCTATGTTTGTTCTATATTGTTCCAGAAAAACAAGTTTCTCAATTGAAATTTGTAGCGGTGAGACGAAAAAACAGGTTTTTACCGGAACCCCCCATTTATAGAAAATCAAACTTTTTTTTGTTGTTCCAGGTTGTTCTAGTTGTTCTAAATATTGTTCCAAAATATTAGTACTGCTAAGTGAAGAATACTCGAATGGGATCAAAGGAAACGTTTTTTACATATAAAATCGTTCTACATTGTATAGTTCCGATTTTGAATCTTGTTCTACATTGTTCTAAGTTAGTTGCTATTATCCGATCGCTATACCAATCTAGAACAATCATCGATAGACCCAGAACCTAGGAAAACCTAGAAAAACCTAGAAAAACCTAAAACAACCTAGAAAAACCTACAACAAGCTGGAACAACCTGGAAATCATTCGAAATGGTCCTATATCTACATGCTATTCTCAGAG